ATAGGGAGCCCCGCAGGGCTCCATTCCCCTCTCAGCTCCCAGCGTGTCCCCATTCCTACCGCCTACTTTTAGTTCCACCAGCAAGAAATAACAGGGCCTGAGAAGGCCAAGTGCTGGGGAACTGGCCAGACCCTTCAGCCCATGGCTTCCTGGCTGGAGTGGCCCTTTCCAGGATTTGGTCCCCACCCAGCCAGCAGGGAGCATGGTGAGGGGGCAGCTGAGAATCCTAGCCCTCCTCACCCCTCCCCACCCCCAGTGACTAAATCTCTCAGATCTGTCCATCCCCGCTGGGATTCAGAGTTCCCCCAACCCCCAGGAAAGTGCAGGGACAGACTCTCAGCCAAGGAGGGGGGCCTGGTGGTCCAAAGGAGAGACTGGCTCTTTTCCTTTTGTTTGCTCACAGGAGGGGACAAATGCCCTGTGTGCACAGAGGTTTGATGTGACAACTTGATAGACCACATGAGGGTTTCAGCAAAGGCCTCCCGACCCTGCTCTCCATGCATTAAGATAATGATGGGGTGTGTGCCCCAGCACATTTCAGATCTTGGCTACAAAGGCCCTCCTTCCTTCTGTTTTCTTCCTCCGGCTCAGCTTGCACACAGGTTCCCAGAGACTCTTGGCAGCTTTCTCTCAGGCAGAATGAAGTTGTGAGCTGCGTGGGAGGCAGTTAGCGAGAATGTTGCAGCCTCCTTAATGAGGGACAATAGCTCTTCTTGGAGCCATTAGGCTGCAGCTATGGAGATGGGGAACCCCAATTAGAAAGGAGTGGGAGAAGAAAAGAGGAGGGTCTGAGAGATGCCTGCGGGACAGATTGTATCTTTGGTGGCTCTGTGGGACCCATGGGTGGAGCTCTGGCTGATTGAGTTTAGAATCTGCCTTCCTTCTCCAGGTAAGACCTTCCAATGGCTGTAGAGCCAACCCAAAGGGTGGTGACCCTTCTCAAAACACGAGCTGAAAGGAGAAGGAAAACTTAACCGGAGAGCAGGGCTTTTCTATAAGTTTGAGGCTTGGATATTATAGGAGTAAGAAAGGAAACGGTATTTATTTAATGGACATCCTCTGTAAGTTTTACTGCATTAGGTATGTGTGCGTACGGGTATTCGGATCATAGCCCATAGCTCTCTTTTGTTCTGGCTCTGAGCTCAATCACATTATGTTTACAGCAAGATAATAATCCTGGATTTTCCATGGCTCTCTCTGTCAGAGTATAAGATTAGCTCTTGAATTCATTAACAGCCATCTCCTTTTAAATGTCAGATAACTTTTTAAATGCCAAGTACTTACGCAACACCTTCTGTGCAATTCAAATCAGCTTTACCAAATTAACTCATTAATCTTTATTGTTTCATTTGCTGAAGAGAAAGGCTTCCAGGTGTTTTTAGCACAACATGAAAATATTAGTTACAATACAGTATAGGTGGGTTTTGATTTTCTGCTAAGTATTTCACCCTTCCATGGGTTTTGTAATCATTCCCATTGAAGCCTACACACACACACACACAAAGAAGATACAAAAAAGCTTCAGGCATCTCTGCTTTCTACTAATCCCCCCATTTTCCTTCCCTTCTGTCTATCCTTATGCTTCTTATCCTTATCCTTCTGCAACTTCAGATAATTGACTCCTGTTTACTATTTATTCTGTTCTCTTTGCTCTCAAAATAGCCCAAGAGGCGCTCTCCCACCTAGAAAACAAGCATGCCTCGCAGGATCGGGGATGGAGCCCAGAGGGCTGGTCAGAACAGGCCTAGGAATCAGGAATTCCACTTTCCTTTTCAGAGGACCCCGGCACAGTTTTACCTCTGAATAATCAGAGACAGGCCACCCTGACGGCTAAGGATAGAGCCTTCCATGGTTGAGTCCTTCTTGTCACCCAGCTCTCTGCCCCAGTCATCTCCAAAGTCTTGCCTCATCACCCAAAGGCAAGTCCCACCCTTCCCTATCCTATCCCATTTCATTGTCTTCATAGATTTATCACTATCTAAAATCATCCTGCTTCTGAACGTGTTTGTTTGTCTGACACATACAGTATCACTGTATAAATAACAGCTTAATTGCATAAATGCAAAACCATCCCAACACATGGCTTTCTTGCCAGATTTCAACTTTGACTTTTTTCTCCCCTTCTCACCACCTCCCAGAATCCTCTTTATATATTTAATCTTTTCTTTCCTCTCATCTCCTAAGCCCCCTTTCACTGTCATTTATTTGTTAGAACATTCAAATGTAATAAGCAAAAACACTTCTTCGCATTCCAGTGACTATAGAACCTTCATGAAGACATTCCATCAAGCTAAAATTCATGGCCCCTAAAGTTAAGGAGATGAACCATACAGTCAAAAGAATTGTTTTATCAAAAGATTTATAGGCCGGGGGGCACCTGGGTAGTTCAGTTGGTTAAGTGTCAGACTCTTGATCCCAGCCCAGGTCTTGATCTCAGGGTCATGAGTTCAAACCCCATGTTGGGCTCCACGCAGGGTATGGAGCCTACTTAAGAAAAACAAACAAAAAAAGATTTACAGGTCAGTTGATTTGGAGAGATTTTCCCAAAGCCTCTCAACTCCCTACTCTTCAGTCTGAGTCCCACATCAGGAGTTAAAGTAATTCTAGCCATTGGAACTGGCTGTGACTATGCTTTCGTCTCCTGGGCTAACACAAAATCTTCTCCTGAAGGTAATGGAGAACTTTCCCTCAAATCAGTATCGTCTGATTTCTATTATCGCACCCAGTGATTTCATGCGTGATTTTGGAAGCTAGGAAGCAGACAAAATTTTTGTCTGATTCTAGCTTGGACCAAATGTTTTCATTTGTTCTAGAAACAGGGAGGGGCTCTCTCACTCCAAGGAGCTAATCAGATATATGACTGAGATGACAAAAAATTGGATATGTGTTTGTCCAGAAAAGTCTTTATCTCTAGCCACATTTCAAAACAAAGGAAACGGGCGGAGGTGTTCATCAAAATGATGGCTCTTTGTGGGGGACCCAACTGCTAATTCATCATTAATATTTTAAAATAAATGTTATAGGAGGGGGAGTTTATAATGGCCCAACGAGACATCCGAGATCTAAAAAATATGGAAATGATCAAATCCACACCCACGGTGATCTCATGGCATACTAGTGACCCCAGCAAATCAGTCCTGAAAAACAACAGATAACTTTCCTCTTTGGAACTGAGGAGCCCGTGCTACACGGAGGACAGGCTCTGGAGGTCAGCCCATACTTTTGGTCGAGCCGTCTTCACTGGCCTTCCCCACGGTAACTGAATCCGGCAACACAAAGCTTGCCCCAATGTGATTGTTACTCTTTTGTTCAGCAAATACCTGTCAAGTAGGTACTGTTTCCAGACTCAGTGCCTCTGAACAGCACAGTCCCGGGTCCTGCCCTCATGGAGCTTACAGTGGGCGGGGAGGCGAGTCAGCCGTCCTGCAGGGCCATCCTTGGGGACCACAGGGGACGTGCTCCGTGCTGTGGGTGAAAGGCCCAGATGAGCGAGGACTGAAGAAGGAGGAGGAGTTAGGAGGGAGGCATGTGTTCCCGTGAAAGGGAAGGCCATTGCTCCAGGAACTAAAAGGTCAGTGTTGGCTGCAGCTCTTTGCACTTGCTTCTCCCACAGTGAGATAAACCGTTCCTGCAGAGAGCCCCACAGAACCTGCCCTGGCCTTCTTCAGAGCTTTGCTCAAACGTCACTTTTTTTTTTTTTTTAAGATTTTATTTATTTGAGAGAGAGAGAGAACATAAGTAGGCAAAGGGGCAGGCAGAGGGAAAGGGAGAAGCAGGCTCTCCACTGAGCAGAGAGCTGGATGCGGGACTCGATGCCAGGACCCCAGGATCACGACCCGAGCCAATGGCAGATGCTTAACTGACTGAGCCACCTGGGCGCCCCTCAAGCATCACCTTCTTATAGAACCTTCTCTGAGTGCCCTGCTTAAAACTGCAGCCTCAACTGCCATCCCCAGCTCTTCCTTACTCCCCTCTCTGCTGTATTTTTCTTCATATCACAAATCACTGGCAGACATAACCTGTGTTCCCCTTGCTTCTTATCTCCTCCCTCCCAGTGGAATGTCTGTGCCGTTTTCACAAGGGTGGAGACTTCTCTCTGCTTCTTGCGCTGTCGTCTCTGCTCTGCGGGGCATAGAAAAGGCACTCAACAAATATTAGTTGAATGACAGAATGAGGCAGGAGAGATGGTCCCGGGGCCATCTCTTACCAGGCAAAAAGGGTCTTCTAAGTGGGTTGGCCTTCATGCTGAGGGCAAAGGCCTTCTAATGTTGTAAGCAGAGGAGAAGACTGGTGTGGTCCTCTTTGCGTCTTGGAAGACCGCCCAGCCTGCAGTATGGAGCAGGAGCGGGAAAGCAACTTCAGATCAAACTTTGCTGTGCTCTGAATCATGACATCATTTGCCTGTCGTGGTAACAGGAGGGAGCAGAGCCCAAGAAATTAAAGAGGCCCCAGGGGCCTCGCATTCTTCCTTCCCTCTTGCTAGATGCATTCAAATCATTCTTCCTAACGGATCGCTACATTTTAAGCTTGCAAATAGACTGGAATCTTGCTATAATCTTATCTGCAAGGTGGATTTGATAACCTTTTGTGGAAATCACCCGCAAGCATTGAAAAGATCTCATTAAGAAAGGAGCCTGGGGCAGACGGTGATTTCAGCTCTGCCATTTACCAGCTGTAACTCCCAGTGCCTCATCTGGGAAATGGGAATAACAAGAACGGGGTTGTTGTGAGGACTGAATAAAACGACCACAACCCCAGAACACTGGAAGGTCCTTTTTGCCCCTTTCCCATTATACTGACCCCAGCTACGAATTAATAACAGTCTTGGATTATCCTCTATACATCTGGGTCCCCTGTGGCTTCGATGGCAAAAATAGGTGTTATGACTAGTGTTCCAACGATGAAAAATTACTTTCTATAAATATTTGGGGATTTAGACTAGCTCTTGTCGCACTGTATATCATTCCTATGAAAGTTGGGCTTTCTGCTTCTCTTCACAGGGAGCCCAGCAGTCCTTGGAGGCAGCAGCTCAGAAGACAGGAGAGCCTCAAAGTTGTATAAATAAAGGGCTGATATGTTCAAACAGAAAAGAATTTTACACGCGCAAGCTGCACATCGACATGACGCCGTTCCTGAAGGTGATCTCACACTGAGAAGACGAGGGGTTTTAGAGACATGTACACAGGCATTCCAGTTAATACATTTCTGCATGGTACAAAAACAGCTTCAGAAGTCCCTCAGAGTTCCTGCTTTATCAGAAGGGACAGAAAATAGGCAGTTTGTAGCGGATGAAGGAAGAACAAATTAGGACAGTAATCACAGCCAGCCATCGGGGACAAATCAGTTGGGTGTCTGGTTTGGGTGGTGGGGGACAGAGAAAAGAGAGGAGAAAGGACAACCTTGAACTACCTCATAAAACAAGCAAATACAATTCATTTTTTTCTTGACGGTAGCTAAAATAATTGTTACTCTTTTATCACCGTAACTGAGTGGAGCTGGTTTTCTGACCGGAGGACAAGACTGATTCTTGGTAACTATTTACAAGTCAACTGTGTATCTTCTTTGAATGTCTGAACTTATTTTCTGTTGTCTAAGGGTTCATTATTCTCCTAAGCACAGCTTCAAATCTAGTTAAGGGTCCTGAGCGTTCCTGTGGTGGGATGTCATTTGTCCACCACTGCATAGTCTCTCCTGTCCCCGGCATGTGACACGGAGCCTGGCACTGGAAGGCGCTCACTGATGGCCCCATAAATGGGCCCCCTTCTAATCCAATAGCCCTCTGGCTTGGGGTCCTCTTCTCACCCATTCTTTGCCCCCTAAAAGCTGAATGAACTGGAAATAAGTGATCAGGGAGTAAAAGAAAACTAATCAGGAACCAAGCAGGCAAGGCTTGGCATGGAAGGATCTCCGATCCTTTGTACAACCCTATTAGAGCAACGTCCCAGGCCCTAGATAAGGAGTGACTAGGAGAGATGCCTGGGTGGCTCAATTGGTTAAGCATCTGTCTTTGGCTCAGGCCATGGATCCCAGGGTCCTGGGATTGAGTCTCACATTGGGCTTCTTGCTCCCTCTGTCTGCTGCTCCTCCTACATGTGCTTCTTCTCTCTTTCTCTCCCTGGCACATAAATAAATAAGATCTATCAAAAAAATTTTTTTCTTTAAATAAGATATATTTTTAAAAAGAAGAAGTGACCAGGAAAGAGAGAAACAGAGGAAAAGAAATCAGATCCCTGCAGGTTCGTGATGGTGGCACTAGCTAATGCTGTAAAGGTCAGAGGCTCGGGAGGTCATGAGGGTCACCCCCTCACCTCAGTGAATCTGGAGTTCTCAGGTTACATCTTCTCTCGGCCACTCCAGTCCCAGCCCAGCAGTGTGGGACTTCAGTGAAGAGTTATGTGTCTTTCCCCAGTCTGTCTCACTCCATGGCTGGCCTCTGCGTTCCTCGGTTTCCTTTCGGTTAGGGTCTCTCCCCATGTAACAAGATGGTCACTGACTTCTCTTTTCTAGATCATTCTGGTACTGAATCTCATTGGTCCGACTTGGGTCACATCCCCATGCCCAGATGAATCAGTCTGGTCAGGAAATTGAAATACACTAATTGGCCCAGCCCAAAGTCACAGGCACCAAAAAGGAAAAAGAGGATCCTTATAACCCTAATAAGAGAGAATGATTCTGGACAGGGAAAAAAAAATTTTTTTTTTTGCTACAAGTATTTAAAACAATGAGTTTAATTCATTACATAGTTATATTAGTTTGCCAGGGCCACCAAACAAAGTTCCACAGACTGCGTGGCTTAATGGAAATTTATTTCCTCACAATTCTGCAAGCCAAAAGTCTGAGATCTAGGTGTTGGAAGGGTTGGTTTCTCCTGAGGCCTTTCTCCTTGGCTTGTAGATAGCCATCTACTCCCTTTGTCTTCACATGGTCTTCCCTCTGCACATGTTTGTGTCCTAATCACCTCCTCTTATGAGACACCAGTCACGTCGGATTAGACCCCACGCCAATAATTAGCTCACTTTAAGTTTTTAAAGACCATACCTCCGAGGACAGTCACATTCTGAGGTACTCATTGTGGGCCGCAATATATTAATTTTGGAGGAATACCGTTCACTCTAAAATACTTATGAAACAATCCTTTTTTTCTTAGCATCCGCTTAGTTCTCCCCTTAGGGCCTGTAGAATCATGGTTAGTACTTCCTGGGATATCATCAACATCATCACTAACTCACTCACTGAGTGTGTCTGGCCCTTTCTGGGCATTTGGAATACATCAGCAAACGAAAGAGACCAGGATCCTTGTCCTGCCCTAGGCAACATGTATAGTATGTCCAAAAGTGATAATTACTATGGAAATGAGATAGATATATTTACGGAGCATCTAGAAACTGCAGAATTCAGAGTGTAGAATTTTACAATAATTTTTTTGTGTGTTGAGTGTCCGCAGTGCTTTTGAGTTATGCTTTCTGTTCAGTAGTGTTGGCACCGTGTTAGAGAGGGAAGGCATTGTCATCCCGAAGACCCACTTTCCAGTCCACCCTTTCCAAGGCTCACAGAAACTGTAACTCAGCCTGTTTCTGCAGGGGACTCGCAGAGCACACAGGAGGCTTTCTGCCTCCCAGGCTGTCCTTCCCCAAAAGATCACACCTTTTCTTGGGAATGTTCAGTGTTAAAAGCTCTCCTTGGTAAATCTTCCCCTTCTTGGCATGGTAGCTCCTGGATTCTTAGGAAATCCTTAAATATCGCAGGAAAGGACAGATCTCAGATCTTGCATAGAAAAGGATGGTGAATTCAAACAGAGACAGTCCTGTCCTCAGCATCTGGAGCTTAACAGAAACCAGCTCATTCTACACATGTCATTTGTACATTTCCTGCCTATCCACAGGGCATTTCATTCATTTTTCTTCTTCCTGGTGCGTGTAGGAAGCACTGAACATTTCAGGGTTTGAGAGTAAGAGATAAAAATATTGAGGCAGAAAAGGGGAATGGAAAGGGATGCAAATAATCATAATTGCTAACATTACCGAGCACTTACTCTATGCCAGACTCTGTTCTAATGCAAGAACTCATTTAATTCACAAAACGAACCCGAGAAATAGGTAACATTATCCCATTTGACAGATGACAAATCTAAGGTATTGAGAGGTTAAGTCACTCCCCAAATGTCCTACAGTTAGTAAATGACAGACACAAAGACAGCCCAGTTCCAGAGCCCATGTTTTCAACCATCTTCCTTAAAGCCTCACTGCAAACCCCAAATGAGTGACCTTGTAACACTTCTGGGACTGTGCTTGCTCTTTAGTAAAATGGAAATAGTAATACTGGACCGTCCATAGTTGCCCCTCAACAGTGAGGCAAGAATTACAAGAAATAATAATCTTGAAAGAATGTCCACACCTACAAAAGATTCATAAAGGAGAAAAAAAAAAAAAACGAACATTTGTTGATTCCTACTTAGGACCAGGTCCATGTTAGAACTTTATTTAATTCCGCTCCCCACCCACCCCTTTCTGGTGAGTGTGTGGATCTCCACTGTGCAGACGAGGAACCAGGGCTGGTAAAATGAGCCAGTGATTGGTGACGTGGGGCCAGCAGAGGGCGCTAGGAGCTAAAGCTGCAAACCCAGCAATACCTGATCTTGACAAGGTCAGTCGAGTCTTCCTGTGAAGAACTCAATGGTACATCTTTGTTTCAACTTTAGAACCTAGGAGAGGAGCAGAGAATTAATAATATACTTAAATCTTAATAACACAAGATACCTTATGATTTTCAAAAATCGGTTTTCTTTATTAAAGAAAATGTGTGGGATATTTATAATACACAAGAAAAGTACTACCTTGAAGTTGAAACTCTTAAATAAGATACTGAATTTCTTTCTTTTTCTTTTCTTTTTTTTCTTTTTTTTTTTTTTTTTTTAAGATTTTATTTACTGGGGCGCCTGGGTGGCGCAGTGGGTTAAGCCTCTGCCTTCAGCTCGGGTTATGGTCTCAGGGGCCTGGGATGGAGCCCCACATCAGGCTCTCTGCTCACCAGGGAGCCTGCTTACCCCTCTCTCTCTGCCTACTTGTAATCTCTGTCCATCAAATTTTATTATGTGTCAGAGAGAGAACATAAGCAAGGAGAGGAGCAGGCAGAGCAGGCAGAGGGAGAAGCAGTCTCCCCGCTGACCACGGAGCCCAATGCAGGACTTGATCCCAGCACCCTGGGACCATGACCTGAGCTGAAGACTCACATTCAAGGACTGAGCCACCCAGTCATCCCAGGCATCCCTCTTTTTTTTTTTTTTTTCAAGATTTCCTTTATTTATTTAATTTATTTTGAAAGCCATAGAGAGAGCAAGCACGAGCAGAGGCAGAAGAAGAGGGAGAAGCAGACTCCCTGCTTAGCAGGAGCCCGATGAGGGACTCGATCCCAGGACCTTGGGATCACAACCCAAGCTGAAGGCAGACATTTAACAGAATGAGCCCCGGCAGGCGCCCTTGGATAGATTTTCTTCCATTATTAAGAAGCTGTTGAAATTAGTCATTTAGATGCATGTACTGTGGTATGATACACAGAATTTCCAAATGTATTTTCCTAAACAAGCCTTTCAGGAAGAAGCCCGTACAGTATTTATTACTACTCCCATTTCCCAGATGGGGAGAGTGAGGGGCAGAGGGAGGTCGTGTAGCTGGCTGCTGGCCCACCGGCTCCCCACTCTGACTCCGGCATCCCACGCTCCTCCATTCTTCCGGACCCCCTCAGGAAAGCCTGCACTGGGCCTAGAAGTCCCATGCTGGAGGGGGCATTGCGCGCAGGGGTAGTGGGCAAGACTAGTGGAAGATTCTCCAACAAGAGAGGAGAACTGCAGGCCACCTGGCCCGGCCCCTGTTCGCTGAGGAAACTGAGGCTTGGGGTTTAAGTCAGCGGCATGCTCTGTAAGGCAGGAAGTGTAGGAGTAGGGCCTCGGGGCAGTCTGACCGCAGGACCCGTACCCCAGCCACTCGGGCAGCTGCGTCTCTCGCCTGGGTTCGGTGCTGCACTTTGTGCTTACGAAGCGTTAGTTCCTGTCCCCACCCACCCCAGCCCAGGGATACCACCCTGCCGCCGGGGCTCGTTCTAAACACAGCTCAGCCCTCTCACTGGTTTGCTTGAAGTTTCTTAACCACGTCCCCATGGGCCTTCTGGTTAAATCCTGGCATCAAAGATGTATTTCTTTTATAAATAGAAAAATAGAACAAATCCTTTTTTTTTTTTTTTTAAACTCCATCCTGCAGCCTGCAAGGTCTGGCCCATATCTCATTCAGCTGTCCACGCTCGGCAGCCACACCACACTACCCCCTGACCAGCACCGGCTGCTTCCTCCGCCGGGAACTCCCCTATCTCCCCGTCCCTGCAAGACTCAGAGCCGTGTCCCCTGGCAAACAAGCCTTCCTCGGACTAACTCAGCTTTGCGTCCTGGGGGGTCCTGCGGAAAACTGTCGTGCTCTGTCACAAGTACCACAGCATCACAGTCCTGAGTTTTATGTCGTTTCTCCACAAGCCAGGGGCTCTGTGCTCCCAGGGCCTAGCGCACGTCCCGGCACCCAGCCCCCCCCCCCCCCCCCCCCCCCCCCCCCCCCCCCCCCCCCCCC